ATATATCGCTACACCACCTCCCTCACGTGAACGGTCGTTGCGCACAATACTATATCCTTCTATATGAAGTATGTTATTATCTACACTATGGTCTAATTTAGTTTCATTAACACTTAAAATGTCTATAGTGGTTTGTCGTGCAGATAAAATCTCAATTGTTCGATGTGCTTTGTGAGGAAAGTGATGTTAATATGGCCGACACGAAAACTTTTAAGTCTCTTAAGCTTATTGCAAACAGTACTTTCATTTAAATTATCTAGTGGTATATCATGTATGACATTATTGTCATCCCCGAGCCGGCGGCGCGAAGCGCCGTGCGAGGGTACTAATTCCGCACGGCTAATTATACCCGGGTATGTGAAAACATAGCGGAGTGCCAAGTTGTCCTCCATTTTGTTTATGTCATGGTGTGTTTTCGACGTTATTCGCATGCGCGAGTACAAACTCTGTCGAAGTAATTGTTTTTCATTTTGAAAGGACGTATTTTGCTGTTTTACAGCAATTTTTTGTTTTAAATTTCGTTAAAAAGTTTACAAACGTACAACACAGTTTTTTTCTCGATTTTAACTGGAAATAAGCTTGCAGTTTCATGAATTAGTGGCTGTTCAACCGTGAAACAAAGTTTGTATAATAATTGTTTTGATGTTGATGTCTTTGATAATTTAATCGTTGTTGTGCCGGTTTGGGTAAGTGTAAACTTTTGAGTAGTAAAATTCCATGCCATACTTGCTTTGTGCTGTCGGTTTTATTCATATCTGCGAAATTTTTAAGCCATTCTTTAATAACTCGATAATCACTTTAATGCAAGCTGGTATGCATGAAATTGCAGTGAATGTCATCGTTCATTTATAATTATATAAAGCTAGCGCATCAGTTGTGTTTTTATGTTTGTTTATAATGATCTTAATACTTTATGTCGAGTTTTTATACTTCATCTGTTAAGAAAGGCGAGGGGTTGCTGCATGCATGTAATTTCTAGTTATATTTATATTTTCAGATAAAGGGTCGTCGCCCGGGATAAATTGGCCAACATCTGGAATCTCATTTTCGCTCAGTGTTAGTTTAGCTAAATTAGTTCGTGCAGATATCGCAATCGAGGGCTTTGTTTGCATATTATTTTTTAGTAAATGGTACTTACTTTTATTAGCGCCTAAATATTGTTTTATGTTTTTTTGCAAAAACTCCATTTCCCATTCTATTTAAATGACAAATGAACTCCATATGGGTTCAAGTGAGATAAATTAATATTATTGTTTTTAATTAGATGCCATTTACGTTTTTTGCAGAGTTTAGCTTATTGTTCATTGTAAATATTTACCTTTTCAAGCATGCCATGATCGTCTGATCTTGTTATAACTTCAGATAATGTAACTTTGACATCCTTGTTCTGTTGTGCAATAGTGTCGGCGAGATTACCCATAGCGGTAATGACAACAGCAAGGTTATTATTTCTCAGGTTGCTTGTTCCTATGTGCAGAATGATCTCGTCTGGTGTTATACATAGGATAAGTTACACGTAGTGGTTCATATCTTCAATTTTTGCTCTTGACAATGTTTTAATCGTAATCTTGTGGTCCAGGCCTTGCTGCATTTTTCTCGGATTAAGGTATTTCAACATAAATTCCCCTAAGATAGCCACTTTTTTCTGTTTACGCTGACCAGATTGTTCAAATTTGCTCTGGTTTTTGTTTCTAGTCTGACCATCGTCTGTATTACTTTGCTTTGCTTTAAGTGATTCGTGGCTTGCTTCTCTGGATGTTGATGCCCCATATCGCTTTGTCTTTTTGTTTTTGTGCTGGTTGTTGGACGTTGTTGGATTGGAATATCGTCCTCTTCTGTATCGCTGTCAGTAAGGATGGAGAACTGGTTACTTGTATTAATTGTAATTGGTTCGGTAGGTATCTTGCACGCTGTTTTGTTTTGTTTTGTTTTTACGCTTGACCATTTGTTGTGCTGAGTATTTACCAAATCTTGTTGCAAGATTCTTAATGTAGTTGACAGGCTCTCCTTTTCGCTTTCTAAGTTTTGTATCCCTTTGTCCTGATCTGTCTGCGCATTTTCGCCCTGAAGTATTCAGCAGTGTAATTAAACTTTGCTTTTCGCTTTTAAGTTCTTGCATCTTCGATTTCAGATCCGACATACCATGACTTAGCCGTATTTAATTCGCCTCTCTTAATACGGTGTTTTCTTTGATTAGATTAGCATTTTCGTTCTTTAAATCATCAACCACGTCCTCCAAAACTACAATCGAATAAACCTTGTTCTCTTTAATGTTTATTACCTCCTCATCGAGTACCTCTAGTCTGTTGGTGTACCCATACCTGCAATATTGCAATATTGTTTGGGCATCTACGTATGCATCCAACCTGTTTCGTTTGGTAGTTCTTCAGAAACGTATTGTTAGAATTATGAATAATAGTACATTTGATTCTCATACAAGCATGATCTTTAAAAACCTTCGATTATTGAAATTTAGTGACATATGTAAATTGCAAACATGTCAATTCATGTTTTTGTATAAAAAAATCTTGTACCAGAACATTTTAAAAATATTTTCCTATTAAATAGCCAAATACATAATTATAATACTAGAAGAGCAAATGAATTTCACATTGTAACTCCTAGAACAAATCTACGTCAATTCTCTATAAAATACCAAGGCCCATTTCTCTATAACAGTCTAGACAATGATATTGTGAATAGTGTATCACTTTCTTCCTTTACAAAGAAATTAAAAAAACTTTTCTGCTCCATGTATAATTAACTAAGCTTACCATTATTATTTATTTTGAAATAAGCTTATAATTAGTGTGAATTCTCAAACGAGAGGGGGTTTGATAATTTTAATAAGCCTAATTGGTTTCCTATATCAAACCTCCTCGTCACATAGGCTTTTAAGTAAATATTTATTATTTTGTTTGATAACATTATCTTTCTTGTTATTATTTAACTTACATTATTTGACATTTTTTGTAAATAATTGTTGTGTGTGACAAAATTTATTATTAAACATATTATTAAACATATTAAACATTAATTAACGCGTGCGCATCCAGGACAAGAGAAATTAATTTCGCACATTAAAGAGAGCACGCCACGTACTACCTAGTGGCTTTCCCTCCTGATCTATAGTATTGTGCTTCTCGATTTCAATTGACTCTCCCATTTTGCGAGAGAACTTATAACTATCAATCGCCATAATGCTCGCTTCGTCCCATTTTATACGATGGTCGTAAGCCCAAGTATGTTTAGCTACAGCAGATTTATCTTGCTCGGCTTTCTCGCAATTCGTCTTATGTTCTTTAAGACGTACTGAGAGATTTCGACCAGTTTCACCAATATAAACTAGACCACATTGACAAGGAAAGCGGTACACACCAGGTTTCTGAGATTCATTCACGTTGTCTTTATGTGTGCAAAGAGCTCGAAACAATTTGTTTTCGCTGGAATGGTATGCCTTTATACCTGCTTCATTCTTCAAAATTCTCTCAATTTTGTGTGAAGCCAATGTATGATAAACAAACAGAGGACTGATATTCAATCTTCTGCTGTATGAAATTCCGGGGATAACCATTCATTTTTAGAACATTTCTTAAATGTTCTAATTCATCGTCAATGTTATTTACCTCACAAATTGTTTTCGCTCGGTTGATGAGTGTCTTACATACGGAGCTTTTAATACTAGGATGATGAAATGAAATATAATGCAGATACCTGTCTCTGTGTGTTGATTTCCTATAAACCTTATGTCCTAGCGACCCATCATCTATTTGTCCTAGCGACCCATCATCATCATCTAGTTTAAGATTATTTAAGATCAAGTTGATCCTGTCGTAAGTGTTCTACCACTACCAGCAACCAATGGACAATATTCCATTCTTCGCTTTTACGCTGGTTTCGCGTTACTTTTGTTTTAAATACCTTGATTGCGTTAAAAGATTTATTTTTCAGGCCAGTGACATAGCCAAAAGACTTCGCATTAATGTCCTTGTGATTTTATAAAGATATCTCTAGAACAGAGGATTTTAGAAAGCGTTATCTGTACTCTCTCAAAGTTGTAAACAAGATATGCTGTTTACGTCCAACACGCATAAGATTACATAACTGGTCAATAGAAATTGGTCGTTTTGAGTGACATAATCGTGTATCGTCATCGATTCGTGTCGTTGAACAATGAAAAATTTGTCGTGAAATTATTGAAGATAAAATAGCATTTTGTGAAAAAACTGCGGGTCTATGGAGTGGAAACTTTTCGGATTTGAACTCAGAGTGCTTGAAAGTGTTAGTTCCCGTCAAAATATTTCAGATCTAAAACATGCTTAATGAAAGTGAACGATATCGGGTCACAACACACGGACTATTGTGCGTATCTTCGTGTTCAATTGTGCCTTCGACGCCATGTTTGTTTCCTTCGACAATCAAAGTTGTCAAATCTGCAACCGTTTCGACCGCTTCTGACTCTTTAATCGTAAGTGAGGCAAGTTTTTCCTTCAACACGGAACTATCATTCTCAGTATTGCTCTAATTATGAGCGACGAGCTGTCTGCATGCCACCATATTGTTAGCTTCTCGTTTTGAAATTTTTTCGCATCGCTGCCCGGGGAGCTCCAATTTGTTTCGTATCCAAGTTCTTGGTTTAGTAGCTTTTTTAATCCTTCAAAACTGCCAGACCACTTATACTTTTCCTTTTCTGTCATGCTCAACATTTGACTTTTGCTTCCTTCAGATAGATCTAGATTTACAGATTCTTCACTCTCTCTCGTATTCATGCCAAAATACTTAAAGCTCTTTCGCTTTCAGATATAAAACTATTTCGCAAAATACATAAAGCTATTTCAGATATAAAGCTATTTCAAATTCTTTGATTTGTACAAAAAATTAAGAATGACACGAGCCTGCGTTCCCTGTTGGCGTAATTAAAATAATTCATGTTGAAACGATGTTTGGAAAATGTGGGCGGGGGATAATATGTTTACTATGTATGTTATCTATTCTAAGAACGTCTTTTATTGGCTACATGCGTGTTCAACTTGATTCTGTACTAAAACCACTAATTCTGATTTGTGATTGGCGCGGTTTAATCAAAGAATCCTCCCGTTGAACCAGAGCCTTCGCGACGTTTCAATTTATTATTTACTGAAGGCTCTGGAATCCAGGGTATAAGAGCTAAGGCTTCACGGTAAGATAGATGTGGGAATATACCGTAATGCGGAAAAATCGCTTCTGTATGCGTTCAATCTTCTCAACAAGGCGGAAAGAAGGGAGGCGTTTATGCCACACAGCGCAGCCGTAATCCAATATGGAGCGGATAAGAGATGCAATGCCTTATGGGAAAGTCACAATTTCTAAAAGGCCAAACAAAATGGTTTTATAATCCCAAAATGAACTCTTGTCTACGTCAAAACCTCAACATGAAGTGCTTATGAAACGAAATTTTTGCCTCATTTTTTATTGTTTTATTGAAAGGTACTGCTCAAATGATGAAGAATTACGTTTACAGTTTATTCGTATATTTTGAGTTGTGACTCGAAGCAGTGGCAATATATAACAAGAAAATCTGATATCTTGGTGATCGTTTAATAAAATTCAATGAAACTTGGCACACTTAGTGGGTGCCACGAGATCAACAATCTGGCTTGTTTATATGGTGTTATGGCTACACACTCGTCCCCAGTCCTTTCTCTTCCAATTTCTATATGATCCATTTCCAACGAAATAAATAGCAATTTCTGCAATTTTCGCTTATTGCTATAATACGTGTGGGCGTTGGGATCAGTTTAAACCGTTCAAAAGGTCTACAGGAGGAAATTGTGCAACGGAAGAGAAGAGACTGGGGATCAGTGTGTTGCCATGACAACCACATGACTTGCCAAAAATACTCACATGGGTGGACCCACTAAGTGTACCGAGTTTCATTTAATTTTATTAAATACTCGCCAAAATAGTCAGACTTTCTTGTTATTGCCATTATCTCAAGTCAAACTTGTGACATCACAACTCAAAATATAAAAAGTACGTACCATTCTTCATCACTCCAGCAGTACTTTTTAGAAAAACAATAAAAAATGAGGTAAAAATTTCGTTTCATTAGCGCTTTTAAGTAATTTTGAGGGATAAAGGTTTATGTAGGAAATAAAACTGATGCAATAGTTTACGCTGGTTCGAAAGCTTAGATTAATTTACAAAAGGTCGATCAAAAAACAATAGGCCATAAAAGGTCATTCTTATAAAGGATAATGAGTATTTACGGTTGCTATATGTTCCTAAGGAAAAATACAATTGATCAATTGACCGTTTGCGTAATAGACTAAATTTTGATCTAAACAAGTCTAGACAAAAATTTCACCACAGCTTGAAAGAGCATCACAAAATTAGTAATATTCCAAAGTTTCGTTGTGAAATGTTGTAAAATGCGGATAATATAGCCTTGCGAAGTTTGCAATTTCCAATAATTTTGTGTTACAAACGGGAAATTGACAGCCCCAAAGGGCATTGTGCTGTCAATTTTCCGTTTGTAATCTAAAATACAGGGAGCCCAACCGTTGATCTGTGTTTAATTGAATTATTTCACTACATTACAATAATATGTCATATAATAATAATAATACTCCTATAGTCGAACATATAATAACAACATAAAGTTGATTTGTACGTATTTGTATGGCTTGTATGTTTTTCAGTTTATTTAAGATCTATTATTAGCTTATATAAAAGCACCGCCTTTCGAACCTGACAGCCCGTTCGCAGGATACACGCGTTATTTCGCATTGAAATAAGAAATGTGACAAGGGATGAAATTACAACACGGCGATGTTTTATTTTGTAGCCGTATGTGCTTGTTAAAACGAATGTTAGCTTGAAATTCGGCTACATGATATGTCTAAGGCTATTAAGTACATAGCCATTGAAAAAAATTGTGAAATAAAAGCCCTATAGTTGATTGCTATAGTTTTTAATAGCGACGTTTCGTAGCATAACGCCCCGACTTGACTGGACCTAATGTAGTTCATTGCTGCGGAGCGAGCGAGCCTGAAGCGAGCGAGCGTAGCAGCAACCTAATATGTGCAGAGAGGGGGTTTTGAAGTAAATTTTATTTAGCGCATGGAATTGTGATCGTGC